TAGGGGGAATTTGTGGGATTTTAGGGGGAATTTGTGGGGATTTTAGGGGGAATTTGTGGGATTTTAGGGAGAATTTGTGGGATTTTAGGGGGAATTTGTGGGGATTTTAAGGGGAATTTGTGGGATTTTAGGGAGAATTTGTGGGATTTTAGGGAGAATTTGTGGGATTTTAGGGGGAATTTGTGGGATTTTAGGGGGAATTTGTGGGATTTTAGGGACAGGGGAAGGAATCGTCACTCCGGGAATGGGGAGTCAGGTGGGAAACTGGGGGAAAATTCCCAAAGATTTGGGGAGTGAGGTGGGAAATTGGGAGAGAATTCCTAAATTGGGGAGTGAGGTGGGAAATTGGGAAGAAATTCCCAATTTGGTAAATGAGGTGGGAAATTCCCAATTTAAGGAATGAGGTGGGAAATTGGGGAAAAGTTCGATGGGATATTGGGATGAAATTCCCAATTTGGGGAACGAGGTGGGAAATTCCCAATATAGGGAATGAGATGGGAGCCAATCCCAAAAAAATCCCAAAAATCCCCCAAATCCTTGGGCACCCAAAAAACGGGAATTAAAGGTTGAATTTCCAACTGAATGACACCAAACCTCCCCAAAGTGCTTGATTACCCCTAATTAGTTTTTATTAATTACCCCGGGGCCGTCACCTCCCTGGACCAACTGCAGAGTTGCTACAGTCCCAAAAAAATCCCAAAAATCCCCCAAATCCTTGGGCAGCCAAAAAACGGGAATTAAAGGTTGAATTTCCAACTGACTGACACCAAACCTCCCCGAAGTGCCTGATTACCCCTAATTAGTTTTTATTAATTACCCCCGGGCCGTCACCTCACTGGGGCCACCGCGGAGTCGCTACAACCCCAAAAAAATCCCCCAAATCCTTGGGCAGCCAAAAAACGGGAATTAAAGGTTGAATTTCCAGCTGAATGACACCAAACCTCCCCAAAGTGCTTGATTACCCCTAATTAGTTCTTATTAATTACCCCGGGGCCGTCAGCACCCTGGACCAACCGCGGAGTCGCTACAACCCCAAAAAAATCCCCCAAAAATCCTTCGGCAGCCGAAAATCGGGAATTCAAAGTTTAATCTCCAGCGGGGTGGCGGCGCCGCCGCCCAGCCGAGCAGCCGCTTATTAATTAGCCCTAATTAGGCTCTGCTAATTAGAGGGCGAGGCGCCCGTCGCGGATGGCGGCGAAGGCGGCGGCGCTCAGCGGCACGTAGGAGCGGCGCGCGGCGTCGCGGAAGAAGAGCCGGTCCCTGACCAGGCCGGGGTCGAAGCCCTCCTTGACCAGGTTGGTCTTGCACTGCTTGAAGGTGCCGGTGGTCTCCAGAGCGGCCTGGGGACAGGGACACGGCGTCGGGAAAGCGCCGGGAAATCAACGGGAAATCACGGGGAAATTGTGGGGAAATCACGGGGAAATCACGGGGAAATCATGGGGAAATCACGGGGAAATCCTGGGGAAATCATGGGGAAATCGCTGGGAAATCACCGGGAAATCACAGGGAAATCATGGGGAAATTGCTGGGAAATCACCGGGAAATCAAGGGGAAACCACCAGGAAATCACCGGGAAATCACGGGGAAATCATGGGGAAATCACCGGGAAATCACGGGGAAATCACCGGGAAACCACAAGGGAACAGCCGGGAAACTGCCGGGAAATCGCCAGGAAATCACGGGGAAATCGCCGGGAAATCACGGGGAAATTGCTGGGAAATCATGGGGAAATCATGGGGAAATCGCTGGGAAATTGCCAGGAAATCATGGGGAAATCGCTGGGAAATCACTGGGAAATCACTGGGAAACCACCGGGAAATCACGGGGAAATCACCGGGAAACCGCAGGGGAACAGCCGGGAAACTGCCGGGAAATCGCCAGGAAATCACGGGGAAATCGCTGGGAAATCACCGGGAAATCACCGGGAAACAGCCAGGAAATCAACGGGAAAGCGCCGGGAAATGGCCGGGAAATTGCTGAGGAACCGCCGAGAAATCACCGGGAAATCACCAGGAAACCACAGGGGAACAGCCGGGAAACTGCTGGGAAATTGCCAGGAAATCACGGGGAAATTGCCAGGAAATCACGGGGAAATCGCCGGGAAATCATGGGGAAATCGCTGGGAAATCATGGGGAAATCACCGGGAAATCACAGGGAAATCACGGGGAAATCATGGGGAAATCACCGGGAAATCACAGGGAAATCACGGGGAAATCACGGGGAAATCAGGGGGAAATAATGGGGAAATCACCGGGAAATCACGGGGAAATCATGGGGAAATCATGGGGAAATCACGGGGAAATCGTGGGGAAATCACGGGGAAATCATGGGGAAATCACCGGGAAATCACGGGGAAATCACGGGGAAATCGTGGGGAAATCACGGGGAAATCATGGGGAAATCACCGGGAAATCACGGGGAAATCATGGGGAAATCACTGGGAAATCGTGGGGAAATCATGGGGAAATCACGGGGAAATCACGGGGAAATCACGGGGAAATCACCGGGAAATCAGGGGAAAATCACCGGGAAATTGCCGGGAAACCTCCCGGAAATCACCGGGAAACCACGGGGAAGCCACCGGGAAACCAACAGGAAATCACCGGGAAACCACGGGGAAGCCACCGGGCCGGTGTTGGCAAAGCTCCGTGACGGTGTCAAGGAACCGCCAAGATGGCGCCGGGGACACCGCCCGGCTGTGCCGCGGCGCCGGCGGAATCGGGAGATGCAGGGGGACTTCGGCACCGGGCGGCGCCCCTTGGTGCCACGTGACCCCCGTTAGCCTCAAGAGGCCACCACTGGCATGAGGTGGCCACCATTGGCATGAGGTGGCCACCATTGGCATGAGGTGGCCATCACTGGCATGAGGTGGCCACCATTGGCATGAGGTGGCCACCATTGGCATGAGGTGGCCACCATTGGCATAAGGTGGCCACCATTGGCATGAAGTGGACATCACTGGCATGAGGTGGCCACCATTGGCCCAAAGTGACCACCACTGGCACCAGATGACCCCCGTTAGCCTCAAGAGGCCACCACTGGCATGAGGTGGCCATCACTGGCATGAGGTGGCCACCATTGGCATGAGGTGGCCATCACTGGCATGAGGTGGCCACCATTGGCATGAGGTGGCC